AGGATGTGGTGTGACCACATTTCAGAGTACACACACACACACACACACACACACACACACACACACACACAGGGCTTCCACGAGGATGTGGTGTGACCACATCTCAGAGTGAACACACACAGGGCTTCCATGAGGATGTGGTGTGACCACATCTCAGAGTGTACACATACACACACACACAGGGCTTCCACGAGGATGTGGCGTGACCACATCTCAGAGTGAACACACACAGGGCTTCCACGAGGATGTGGTGTGACCACATCTCAGAGTGCACACAGACACACAGACACACACACACACACACAGACACACACACACAGGGCTTCCACAAGGATGTGGTGTGACCACATCTCAGGGTGAACACACACACGTGAGGCTTCCACGAGGCATGGTGTGACTACATCTTGGGGTGAACACACACACACACACAACATGAGATTCCTGCAAGGACATGGTGTGACCACATCTTGGGGTGAACACATACACGAAATCCCTGCAAGGACATGGTGTGGCCACATCTTGGGGTGAACACACACAGGGCATGGGGCTCCTAGAAGGGCATGGGGTGACTGCATCTTGGGGTGAAGACACAGAGCCTCCATGAGGATGTGGTGTGACGACATCTCAGGGTGAACACACACACGGGGCTTCCACGAGGCATGGTGTGACCACATCTTGGGGTGAACACACACACACATGAGATTCCTGCAAGGACATGGTGTAACCACATCTTGGGGTGAACACATACACAAAATCACTGCAAGGACATGGTGCGGCCACATCTTGGGGTGAACATGCACAGGGCATGGGGCTCCTATAAGGACGTGGGGTGACTGCCTCTTGGGGTGAAGACACAGAGCCTCCACGAGGACATGGTGTGACCACATCTCGGGGCCCCCTGCTGGCCCTTGAGGACAGTCCCGCCAGGATACACCGCTTAGTGGGTGGCAGCCTGAACTTGTCAGGGAAACTCTGGGGGAGGAGATCAAGCATCCCCAGGATCGGCTCTGAGTAACATGAGAAATACTCCAAAAGTGAGAGGGAACCCACGTAAAGAAGCGAACAATTGAGGTGACCTGGGCAGATCCTGACAGCACTGCAGGTAACCAGGGGTCACGGGCACATGACCTCACACGTGCTAGGTGGGCTAAGCTGCCCATGACCAGCTACAGTGCTGACTCTGCAGACGTGTGCATGTAACCACTGTCACATTGTACCCGACCTCTCCACCTCCACTGCGCCCAGCAACCACCCCACCAGCCCCACCTGCTCACATGATGGTGACCTCCTGGGGCAGGAGGGTCGCTGCTGCACACAGCAGTGACACAATGCCTCTCCTCCCCATCCCCACAAATCGGAGGTGGCAGACACAAAGTCAAGAAAAGCTTGAAGAGCAAAGCTGCTGCTGGGCCAGGGCCAAGAGGAAAACTCGCCCCCAGTCAGACGGATGAAGCCTGGTTTCAAAGGCTGAGGGGAAAACTTGCCTCTAGTCAGAGGAACGGAGGCCCTAGACCCTCTCCTCGTGAAGCTAGCTTAGCCACCTCCCGCCTCTCTGGGGCTGTGGGTCCTAACCCTGCTGCCTCAGCCTCTGCAATCAGGGAAATGCTCCCAACCACAGGATGCCGTGGGCCACTAGGAAGAGCCACCCCTGGCATGATAGGAATGTCCCACTTGCAGCCGGCACCCCACTTGCAGCCAGCACTGGGCACTGTGAGCATGAGGGTCAGGAGAGGTTGTGAGCCAGGAATTCTAGCCAAATGCCAACCCTGGCCCACATGCTCCCTCCGGGGTCCTGCCAAATCTCACTGAAGAATGTCCAGCTCCTTCCTCACCGGTCAGTGCCCACTCTAAGTGGCTACGCATCTATCACTCGGGCCCTGAGGTGGACCAGCACCAGGTGGCAACTGCCCAGCAGAGGCGAGACCCCTCCTCCCAGCGGGAACCACCTGCGACATCCTGACACACCAGCTCCTGCGAGTCTGACTGACCCGTAGGAAGGTAAGGGCCGACGGGGCTGGATCTGGGGCAGGGGTCAAGGTCAGATAAGAAGTTTAGGGGTTGTGCCCACACAGTCAGTCTCTGTGGCACGTTCTTTTCAGCTTTGTTTTCTCAAGTCTTTAAAAACGCATCAGCCATTCTCAGCTCACACAGGCCACAAGCAAGGTTTGCCAGCCTGCTTTTCACACGTCCAGTGGCAACAGGACCCAACAACGCGGTGAGGCCCTGGGAGGAGCATCATCCTCTCTTTTCCACAAGTCTTTCTAAAAGCTGGGCAGCGTGTCAAACCTCACTCCACAGGGTCGAGCCCCCACACCCTGGTGCCTCTGGCCTGACACTTGCCCGGCTGCGTGCGGCAGGCTCGGACTGGCCTGTCTGGGGGTGG